TCTTAAAAGGTACTGATGTCACCTGGGACAGATTACTTACCTTCATTGAGCCTAAATTTCCTCAGTATTAAAATTAGACTAATAATTTCAATTTAATAGCTTTGGTTGAGAATTCAAGGGGGTAACATATGCCTGGGAACTGCTTAGATCACTTTCCATCAAGCATATTATTAAAAATGAATCAACAGAAGCTGCTTATTATATTGATTTTCTCTTTACTTTCAGTTTTAGTCTCATAAAACATCTCTCTGTTCCATTCCCTGTAAATTATCATGTATTTTGGGTTCATTAGGCTTAAATGGGCCTCTATTTGCTAGCCTGAGAAAGTTAACCATTGTTATTTGCTTACTTGTTTAAGAAAATGTGTTCGGCGTTGTAAACATCTGCCTTATTGAGAAGCTTTCATAGCACAATCCATTTTGTAAATGAAATACTGTCTTTGTATTCTGTGCCTAGCACTGCACCTTGAGATGAGTAAGTGCAGTAATTATTTGTTGTCAAATGATTTAAAACCTTCTTCCCGTTAGCACTGTGACTCTCGACAGAGCTCAGTCCTTGCAGAATGCACCTTGCAAAATAAATGGCTTAGCATAACTCGCCCTCTTTCTGCACACAAATGTAAGGAATATTGGTCATATTGGTCAGATTCCTTACAATTGTTAGTTGTTCAAGTATGCAGCAGTACCTGAGCAGTGGTTTCAGTTGGTTCATAACCATTAAAGAGCAGAAAAGTCATGAAACATATGAAGGAAATTTTGTATTAGAAAAGAGTTATGAAGTCTAATGTCATGGAAGAAATCTGTGACTTGATCTTAGAACAGATTGGTTGAGGGTACAGAGAAGAACAAGGTACAGTTTCTGCCTTTTGAGAGCTCAGGATTTATGCCCGTTAAGTGATAAGAGATATGCACAAGACATGATGAATTTGGGATTAGATGGGATGGGGGTTCCTGGCCGAAGATCAAAGAAATGTGGAGAATTTAGCTGGGGAAAGACTAGATGCTGAGTCTAGTAAGAAGGCCTCAGGTGCTATGCTGAGAAGTTTGGGCTGGTTTGGGGCGGGGGGGGGCGGTGTGGGCAGTGATTGAAGCATTTTTAAAAGAGTGACATGTATTGCTGCAAAAAGTCACAAAGACATTTCTTCTGTCCTCAGATGATCAAGGACAAAAGAATAATATCAGGAGCCTTTTGATACCCAGTCAGTATAATTAGAATTTCAAGAGCCAAAATACTGCTCTTCCCATAGACTTTGAATCCCCAGGTGAACTTTCTAAGCAGCCTATAAAAAAGACCTGGTGGCCCCCACCTCCTTGAGCAGAGTGGTCCCTCCAGAAGACACCAGTGTACTGTAATGGTGTGTGCGCGTGTGTGTGAGTCACTTAGTTGTGACCCCAGGAACTGTAGCCCACCAGGCTTCTCTGTCCTTGGGATTCTCCAGGCCAGAATACTAGAGTGGGTTGCCGTTTCCTTCTCCAAATGGAATGGTGTGGGTGGTGCTTTTCACCGCAAATATGAAGACACGTAAGTGGTCCTGCTCCTGGGGAACTTTCTCTGGGTCTGCCTGTCACCGCTCAGCCTGCAGATATCTGGAGCGAGTGCTTTCAGCCGCCACATCGTTCCCATTTGTTTCCTTAAGGACGCTGTTTTTTCAGAGTTGTGAGGGAAGAACATGGTGCTGGTGATAAATGAGGTGGGGTCGTGCTGCTAGGAGAAGGCGGCAGAGAGCTGTGGTATGAGGGAAAATGAAACATCTTGAGACAGTTCAGGGGCAAGTGAGATCAGGAATCAGGTCCAGGCGGGTCACCGGTGGACAGGAGTGTGGCGTGATGTGAAGTAGCCCATGCAGAGTGGGGAGCCCCCGAGGGGCAGCTGCTGGAGACCAGCTCACTGCTGGGTACCTGCTTTGTTGCACAGTCGTGTTCGACTCTTTGCAACCCCATGTGTTGTAGCCCGCCAGGCTCCTCTGTCCGTGGGGACTCTCCAGGCAAGAATACTAGAGTGGGTTGCCATGCCCTCCTCCAGGGGATCTTCCCAACCCAGGGATCGAACCCAGGCCTCCCTCATTGCAGGTGGATTCTTTACCCTCTGAGCCACCAGGGAAGGCCCCGGTTCACTGGGGCCGGTTTCTACCTGTTGCAGCTGTGTCATGATGAAGGCTTGGGCTCTGTAGTTGGCTCAGGAAGTAACCCATACTGCCCACCTCTGAGGATTTTGTTTGGCTAAGAAGAGAATTTTTACAAGAAAATGCTTTGTTAATTAAAAGCTGTAATGTGAACATATAGAGAAAGTATTAATGAAGGCCAAGTGATGACCTGTGACAGTCACTCTTTCATTTCCTTTCCAAACCAAATCCCTCCTTAGCATATTGTGCTTTATTATTGCTGAAAAATCAATGTTAAGTGAAAATGGCTCAGTCGTGTCCGACTCTTTGCAACCCCATAGGGTATACAGTCCATGAAATTCTCCAGGCCAGAATACTGGAGTGGGTAGCCTTTCCCTTCTCTAGGGGATCTTCCTAACCCAGGGATCGAATCGAGGTTTCCTGCATTGCAGGCAGAATCTTACCAGCTGAGCTACAAGGGAAGCCCAAGAATACTGGAGTGGGTAACCTATCCCTTCTGCAGGGGATCTTCCCAATCCAGGAATCGAACCAAGGTCTCCTGCATTGCAGGTAATTCCTTTCCAGCTGAATCTCAAGGGAAGCCCAAGTACAAAGCATAATCTGCGCCACCCAGGAATCTTGCATGATAACTACTACACCAGCGGCATGGCTAAATCAATTAAGCTATTTTCCAAAGCCATTGTCATGAATATAAGATCTAACCTAAAACCCCTGCTTCAGTGAATTAAGGTAAATATTAAAAATAAATTCCTCTGAATTAGCCACTATCTGCTTGGTTATTCATATAATTCGTCCATCATAAACAGTATTTAAAGTGAAGTAAAATTCATATTTATGGCTAATTTGACTTATGAATAAATCATTTTTGTGTGTTTTTAATACATTTGGGCAAGTTCAGTACAGTTTTCCAACTACGCTTTCTTAAAGATTTTTTAAACTACTCTTTGCTTTTTTTATTCAGCTAAAACCCGAACTCAGTTTATATGAATTCTGTAAATCATTGGGCTAATAGAGGAGATTCTTTAGTTTATTGAAATTAAGCTGGGTTGCCTCTAGTTTATGTTCAGCTAAGGTCATCTCAGTGTAGTGTACAGTAGTCTTTGAACAGCCAGCTGGAGTGGAGGGTTTTGCAGAACTCATCTGCATTTTTGGCCCCCTCCCAGCTCTGCCATCTGTAGGGTCACGATCACTCTGCTTTGCCCATTGTGAGCTTTTCGTTTAAAGTCTTTCTATCCCCTCCAGTCTTGTGTATGTGTGTGTCTCAGAGAGAGCATCTTTTTAAATTTTAGTTATTCTCTACTTAGTAGCAGCATATCTAGACTATTCAAATATTTTTTTCAAGTAAGTTTGATTTCTTAGGTATTTAGAGAGCCTACAAAGTTAAGATATTCCTTATTATTGAAAAGTAGTCATTACTCACTTATCACTATGTAACTTACCAGTCAAAGAAATTAGTTATGGAACTTTTGGGTCTTAGATGCTTGGGCTGTCAGGTAGAATTCAAAAGAGTTAAAAATCAATTTATCTTAATGCATTTGTACTGAATGAGAAAATCTCTGTAGGGGTAGATACATGTATATATCTACATGTATATATGTGTGTGTGTGTGTGTGTGTGTGTATATATATATATATATGTATTTCTACAAACGTATTTTCATTTTGGCTTGATTGTGTGTTTATATTGGGTTGGCCAAAAAGTTTGTTTGAGTTTTCCCATAACATCATGTGAAAAACTTGAACGAACTTTTTGGCCAACCCAATACACATCCACATGCAAAATATATTACAAAGTGATCTCTTTAGAGAATAATTTGAAAGGATTCCCTATCTGGCACTTTACAGAAAGTTTATCAGCCTCAGGTTTCCCTGATATCTCAGTTGATAAAGAATCTGCCTGCAATGCAGGAGACCCTGGTTCCATTCCTGGTTCAGAAAGATCCACTGGAGAAGGCATAGGCTACCCACTCCAGTATTCTTGGGCTTCTCTTGTGGCTCAGCTGGTAAAGAATCCACCTGCAGTGTGGGAGACCTGAGTTCAATCCCTGGGTTGGGAAGATCCCCTGGAGAAGGGAAAGGCTACCTACTCCAGTATTCTGGCCTGGAGAATTCCATGAAATGTATTGTCCATGGGGTTGCAAAGAGTTGGACACGACTGAGCGACTTTCACTTTCTTACCAACCTCAAATCTAAACTATACTAGAAATGGGAGCTCATTTTATTTCCCCAGTCAGTAAATTATTCATTGAATTTTTGTGGGTGTCAGCTATGCCCTCATTATTATAATCCCATGGCAGTCAATCTCTTATACTGCATGAGTGAATCTGATTGGAAAGGCACACTATCGGGTGAAAAGTATTATCGTGAGTAGACTGTGCAGATGGCGATGTAGCAGAAAGCACAGGTACGCAGGCCCCCAGCTTTGTCAGAGTGCAGAGAGCCTTGGCCTGGGAACCCCCGTGCTATCTTTGTCACTTGCTACTTGTATGAGCTTCTAAGCCAATTTTATCATCTTTGTATTACTTTTTCTTCACTTTAAAATATAGATTGGATTGGCTTGGATTGGTTTGAAAGTGTGTTAGTTGCTCAGTCATGTCTGGTTCCTTTATGACCCCAGAAACTGTAGCCCGCCAGGCTCCTCTGTCCATGGAATTCTCCACGCAAGAATACTGGAGTGGGTAGACATTCCCTTCTCCAAGGGATCTCCCCAACCCAGGGATTGAACCCGGGTCTCCTGCATTGCAGGCAGATTCTTTACCATCTGAGCCACCAGGGAAGCCCTGGATTGGTTTGTTGGATGACCTCTAGAAGCGTGTCTGGGTCTGAAGCTCTTAATCTGTGACATCTGAATAGACCCATAACTGTCTCTGTTTCCACAGGGTGTTACCTACTGTGGAGAGAGTTCGGCGAGCAGTCTTACCATGGCCAACGTGCCCTGGCATGAGGAGGTGGTGCGCTTTGTCTGTGAGTTGGTGGATCTGATCCCCGGCTATGAAATCGCTTGTGAACACGAGCATTCCAACTGTCTTCTAATAGCTCACAAGAAGGTAAGAACAGCTCAGGTATGCGTTCTTCCATCACCCTTGTCCTTCTTGCTCCCTTCTCTTTTCTCTTTATTTTTCCCCTCACTTTATTATAGTGAAATTCTACTTGTTTGCTACCTTTCCTATAATGAACTTTAAGAAAACCCTGAATTCTGTCTGTTGGACTCATAAACCCTCTTTTCTGTGTGAGAGTGCTTCATTTTCAGCCCTCACTCAGGCACTTGAAGTGCCTTCTGGCTTGTAACTGGCGCATCCTGAGATACAAAACAAAACACCCTTGTAATAACCTCTAGTCCTTTACCCAGAATGACAAGGGAAAGCTAAAATAGTAAACAACCCTCATATGACAGTTTTTTGCTGTCAGAAGAAATATTGAGGTGTTTATCAAATTTTAGATCACTTTGAATCCCGGCCTCTGCAGAAATGTTTCTGGGATGTTGGTTTTCCTTTTTCCTCTTTAGTGTTTTTAGTACACAGAAAAAGTACCTAAATTTAATGTATTTTTTAAAGTAAATAATGCCTAGCAAAGGAAAAATTCAGTTTTTGGTAGAGGTAGGCTCTTAAAAAGAAAAAAATACCCAATCAGAAGTCCAGTGTTAGAGTAGCAATCATACTGATATGCCCTTACTGAAATATTTATACAGAAATAGCACAGTATCTTGGGTTTGATTCAAAATGGTATTAGGTGAGAAGTATATGGGTGTGTTGATGGGCTGAGGGCTTTTGAGGCTAACTGATGGATACATAGAGGCTCATTTTACTTCTCTGCTGAGTTTTCTGTTTATACTTTCTTTTTTTTGTTGTTCATATTTTTCTTTTTTAAAAAAAGTGGACATGGTTGAACCTTGAAAACATTATTCCAGATGCAAAATGGACACAAAAGGCCACATGATATATGATTCTGTTTATATGAAATGTCCAGACAGATCAGTCCTTAGAGTCAGAACGTGGTTTAGTGGTTGATGGGGGTTGGGGGAAGAGCAGGTCAGAAAGTAACTGCTAATAGGTATGGGATTTATTTTTGGGTTATGAAAATGCTCTGGAATTACATAGTAGTGTTGGTTGCACAACTTTGTGGCTGTATGAAAACCTACTGAATTGTATACTGTAAAAGTTGAATTTTATGGTTTGTGAATTATATCACTATAAGGATAAATTAATACCAAAAAGGTTAAAGAATGGGCTTACCTTTTCTTATAAAAATGTTTTTTATGCGAGTCAAGTCAGGCTTCATCAATTCAAACATGAGTCTCACTTTTTTCTCCCTGCAACCTAAGCGGCTTCCAGAACAGCTTCATAGGTTAATGATATTTAATAATATTAGAAGTGCTCAATTAAAATGTCACTTGATCTAGGCTCAAACAAACAGGAGGTTAAAAGGCCCTCATGCCTTAGTCGCAGTGAGATTATATATATCTGACCTAATGATCTGTCAAACTTAAATATTTAGACAGAAGAATGTGTTCTAGGAGCATCAGGGAACAAAGAAATAAAAGCCGCCTAGTATTTGAAATGTTCATTAAAGTAGCTGCAAAGACAGTTAACTTACAAAGTAAATCTTAAAAAATTAAAGCCAAAAACCAGAATTTTATTTTCTAGCTTTTTAATCACTGTTTCTTTTTCAGGTAAGATAGTACCTTTAAAAAAATTACTTGATTGGGTGGGCAGTGCCCTGGAAATAGTCCTGACGACGGTGGCAAAGTTCTCTCTTCCTCCCTTAAGTCTGGTCTTCACACCATAGCCAAAGAAGTCTTTGTAGAGCGTAGATCTCTTGCTCCCTTTGATTGACCTCCCATTGCTTTTAGTATGAAAATCAAAATCCTGTAATGTGGCTCCCAGCATCATGTGTGATCAGTCTCTGTCTGCCTCTCCAGCTTCTTCTGGAACCCCTCTTCCTTCCCTTTCTGCACTTTTTTTCCTTTTCTCAGCCATAGTAGGTCTTAGTTTTGCTCCAGGTAGGTGGGAATTGTATACTTTTTCTATTCTTTTAGTGGATGTACTAAAGATTACTATTAACATGCATTCTGTACATAATTATTTTGAACTGCTGTCCTATATTGCCTGATTGTTTTCTTCTCTCCTCCACTCAATTAAGCCTCTCTAAACTTCATCTCGAAACTGAGACTAATAATACTGACTTTAGATGTTATTGTTAAGAATAAAGTTAATATATTTGAAGTACTCAGAAGGGAACCTAAAATAAAATCAGCAGTTCGTAAATAATAGTTGTTACTGATGCTTTTATTGGCCTGTGCATATCCACAGGGAGCCCTCAGAAGATGGCCAAGCAAATTACTGAAATCTAGTGTGATAAATGCAACAACAGACATAGGTAGAAAGTACACACCAGACAGAAGAGAGAGTCTGAGATTGACCTTCATCATTTTCTTTAATGTGTGTTGAGTATCCAGATGTGTCAAGCACTGTGTTGACATAAAGATGAGTTTAAAAAAAAGATCCCTGCCTTTGAGAATAGTCTACCAAAAAAGACAAACATCTAAACAAATAAATGCCCGCAAATTATTTTAGATCAATGATGAAAGATTAGAATGGAGCCCAAAGGAGAGCATACTTGGGACTATGATACTATCAGGAGAGATTTCACAGAGGAGTTGCTGTTTGATTGGGTCTTAGATGATGGCCAAGATGTGGTCCATGAGGAAGTGTGGAGCCCTGACACATTGGAACAACTCCAAAGTATTTGGTGTGGCAGGAGATCAAGAGAAGGGCTAAAAGGAGCAGGGGTGATTTGGCAGGGGCAAGATCACTGATGGCATTGAATGATATCCTAAATGTGCTTTTTTCCATATGGTGTGGGCAGGCACCTAAGAGTTTTAAGTAGGGGAGTGACACGATCAGATTGGAATTGCAGAAAAATTTCTCTAGCAACATTATAAAGGATGAATAGCAAGACAGAGAAACCAGTTAAAACAGGTTGTGAAAGTCCAGCAGTCTGAGGGCTAAATGCTGAGGGTCTGAAACAAATTGGTGTGAAGGGGAAGAGTGGGGAGGAGGTGGTCTTGGGGAAGTATTGAGTGAGGGCTATTACATTAAAGAGTCTGTGGAGTCAAGCGTGACCCCCTGGTTTCTGACTTCAGTACGTGGTTGATAGTGACTGTGAACTTCACTGAGGTCGTACTGTTTGCATATTGCTTTTTATTGGTTTGTTCAGGGACCTAGGGTAGGGAGTAGATAAGTTCACTGTAGTATCAGCAAGCAGTTCCAGTAGAATATAGATATCAGATGATGGAGTCAACAAGTTGTGCTTAGAAAGCACGGTCAGTGAGAGAGGTGGTCAAGGTGAGAACTCCAGTATGCTCACCCTGAGGTGTCTGTACCCCAGCACAGAGCACTCTCACTTTCTCTCTTTCTTTTTTTTTTCCCCACTTATTTTTATTAGTTGGAGGCTAATTATTTTTCAATATTGTAGTGGTTTTTGCCATACATTGACATGAATCAGCCATAGATTTACATGTGTTCCCCTTCCCAATCCCCCCTCCTGCCTCCCTCTCCATCCCATCCCTCTGGGTCTTCCCAGTGCACCAGCCCTGAGCACTTGTCTCATGCATCCAACCTGGGCTGGTGATCTGTTTCATCCTTGATAGTATACTTGTTTCAATGCTCTTCTCTCAGAACATCCCACTCTTGCCTTCTCCCACAGAGTCTAAAAGTCTGTTCTGTACATCTGTGTCTCTTTTTCTGTTTTGTATATAGGGTTATTGTTATCATTTTTTTAAAATTCCATATATATGCATTAGTATACTGTATTGGTCTTTATCTTTCTGGCTTACTTCACTCTGTATAATGGGCTCCAGTTTCATCCATCTCATTAGAACTGATTCAAATGAATTCTTTTTAATGGCTGAGTAATATTCCATAGTGTATATGTACAACAGCTTCCTTATCAATTCGTCTGCTGATGGGCATCTAGGTTGCTTCCATGTCCTGGCAATTATAAACAGTGCTGCAATGAACATTTGGGTACATGTGTCTCTTTCAGATCTGGTTTCCTCGGTGTGTATGCCCAGGAGTGGGATTGCTGGGTCATATGGTAATTCTGTTTCCAGTTTTTTAAGGAATCTCCACACTCTTCTCCATAGTGGCTGTACTAGTTTGCATTCCCACCAGCAGTGTAAGAGGGTTTCCCTTTCTCCACACCCTCTCCAGCATTTATTGCTTGTAGACTTTTGGATAGCAGCCATCCTGACTGGTGTGTAATGGTACCTCATTGAAGTTTTGATTTGCATTTCTCTGATAATGAGTGATGTTGAGCATCTTTTCATGTGTTTGTTAGCCATCTGTATGTCTTCTTTGGAGAAATGTCTGTTTAGTTCCTTGGCCCATTTTTTGATTGGGTCATTTATTTTTCTGGAATTGAGCTGTAGGAGTTGCTTGTATATTTTTGAGATTAATCCTTTGTCTGTTTTTTCATTTACTATTATTTTCTCACATTCTGAAGGCTTTCTTTTCACCTTGCTTATAGTTTCCTTTGTTGTGCAAAAGCTTTTAAGTTTAATTAGGTCCCATTTGTTTATTTTTGCTTTTATTTCCAACATTCTGGGAGGTGGGTCATAGAGGATCCCGCTGTAATTTATGTCGGAGAGTGTGTTGCCTATGTTCTCCTCTCAGAGTTTTATAGTATCTGGTCTTACATTTAGATCTTTAATCCATTTTGAGTTTATTTTTGTGTATGGTGTTAGAAGGTGTTCTAGTTTCATTCTTTTACAAGTGGTTGACCAGTTTTCCCAGCACCACTTGTTAAAGAGGTTGTCTTTCTTCCATTGTATATTCTTGCCTCCTTTGTCGAAGATAAGGTGTCTGTAGGTTCGTGGATTTATCTCTGGGCTTTCTATTCTGTTCCATTGATCTATATTTCTGTCTTTGTGCCAGTACCATACTGTCCTGATGACTGTGACTTTGTAGTAGAGCCTGAAGTCAGGCAGGTTGATTCCTCCAGTTCCATTCTTCTTTCTCAAGATTGCTTTGGCTGTTCAAGGTTTTTT